CCGCCATGTTCTTTAGACTGAACTGTCGCGCTTCTCGTTGCGTCACACCTCAACCCGCCTCAAAGCCAACGCTGATTGGACGTTCGGTGAACGGCTCCAAATTTTCTTCAATGGAGACTGAATAGCGAGTGAAATCTTGAAAGCTCGCGAGATCAGGATGGTCTCACGAGGCTAGAGCGTTGGCCTAGTGGTAAGTGCATTGCACTTGTCCTCTGACAAGATTGCAAGTACCAGGTTCGATCCCCACAGCCTGCAATCTGACACCTATAAATCAATTATTTAATCAACTGATAAATCACTCAATCAACCCCAAATTTTGGCCAATTATCTTTCATCAAACTTCTTTTTATTTTTTTTATTAAGTGTTAATAGAAAAATAGATTTTGGGAAATCAACCAATATTTGATTTCAACTAAACATTTCAGTAATAGAGCGCTTGTTTTACTCCAGTGCCTCTTGTGGCAGAGTAAAGTAATACAATAATAAAGCTTAGAAAATAAACCCCTACAAATGAAATTTCTCTTGATCATCATACACCTTCAAGGCTTAACAAAATTAATTAAGCAAAAATAATAACTATATGCTAGTCTGTTTTTTTTTTTTCTTCCTACCTGCTTTTTTAATATTCTGGTGTGTGATATTTTTCTTTACTTAATTTTCAGGGATTCCGTAGAATTCCACTTTGCCAATGTGCTGATAAAAGCAATTATGTAATCTTTAATGCTTTGGATTTTTACACAAATTATCTCTTAAGCTATATTTAAACATTTTATGTGACATATTTTCAGTTTTTCTTCTGTAAACATAAACCGTTCATCAGGTTCCACATATTTTAGAATGTAGATGTTCCGAGGAAACAATCTGCATTTTCAGTAAAACTTAAATATTTACAGTAACGCCTGTTTGTGAAATGAGAAAATATCTAAAAACCAAAAATGATTATTCCATCAAGCACCAAACAGAAATCAAACACAGAGCGTGAGCAGAATGAGGGAATAATGGAGTAAAGAGTGAGGGGAAGAGAGACGGCGATGGAGGCAACTGCTGTGCAAGTTCAGCCTAGAGGACGTAGGAATGTGTTTAAGTCTGAACCTGAAGCCTTAACAAAAGATCAATAGATTTAACTTGTCTTATTTTATTTAGTCTCATTCTCTGCTCTGATTTTTTATATTTCCTGTATATAAACATAACATTTTGAGGTTTTGCTTTTTTTTTACATCACTAAACAGATAGAAGGGCCTAATGAGGACACAGATCTATAAGCTCTGTCCCTAACTGCTATGACATTTCAAACAACCATCAAATTTACATTTGTTTTTGTTTTGTTTTTTGCAATTAATGACATGAAAAACATCAAGATTGCAGGTAGTTTGTATTTTATACAGAATTATTTTATATGGCAAAGAATTTGGTCCAAAAATCTGATAACATTGACTGAGATTCCTGTGAAAGGTCCTGCTGAACAATTTAAAGGAAATAACTCTTTTTATTTGTTTTTTTCTCTTTTTTTCTGACTTGTTCAAGTTAAAGAAAATAATTATCAGTTGTAAAATAAGTGAATGAATCTCCTGTAGACAATAAAGCCTCTTGGATGACAGGACCTTTCACTCTATTTCCTTCCAAATGTTAAGGTTTGGACACAAATTGACCCACAGAGGCCACCATAGGTCTAATCAGAGGTGAAAAAGCTAAATATGTTTTTAAATCTCACACATGGCAGCTTTCTGCCCTTTGCACATAGGAAGCTGTGGCTCCTTAAAGCGGCCCAGTCACACATATTGTGCAGGTGTTTCCATGAACCTTCAACGTTCAGGCTGGTTTAAGCTCCTTGTTATTCCTAAATGTAAAACCTTAACGGTCTAAAGGCGGCGTCACTTTTAATGATAAATTTGCAAAACTGTCTTCAGGGTGAAGGCCATTACGGCCATTAATTCTGCCACCGCAAGACATTATTCTGCACCACAGGGCGTCTGTCATAAGCGCCAATCTTATGACACAAGGCAGCGGTGTCATGGCACCCAATCTGGCTGAACCCTCCCAGACGTCATTAGGACATCATTTCCACCCCGAGGATCGCGCCATGCTAGAAATGGGTTTGCAGCCTTGGTAAGAAACAGCCAAGACAGCACCATGTGAATGGACCCAATAACAACACAATAAACCAAGTTATTTAAAGAAGTTTGATTCTTTGTGTTTTAATTGAATCGGATATATCTCTATGGAGGGAATTTTGTTCCATTATTGTTGCAATAACAAAAAATTTTGTTTGAAAAAAAGGCGATCCAGAAATCACACTAAAAATCCTAAATCAATTTCCTTTTTAGTTTTGACTGAGACCTGCTTGTTATGTCAAGTGCCTTAAAATGACTTTATTGTTGAAAAATCGTGAACAAACTAAAAAATATGGAAGCCCTGAAAGGCAAGTAAAAAGAAGAAAAAGGAACAGACCAAAATGTTTTAAATATTTTTTTTTTTTTGATCACTGAAGGGAGGTTGGAAAAAGCACAAATTGTAGTTTTCAGAGTAACCAAATTTGACAAAATTATTGTTTCAAATTTTCATATTTTTATTTAATCATTTAATTAAATTTTTTATACTATATTGTTAAAACACTTTACAATACAGTATTTTATAGTTTATTTTTAACTCTTCACTATTGTGTTTTTCTCATATATATATATATATATATTTTTCTAAGGTCAAAATTTGTGTGACCATTTTTTTCTTCTATCATCTTTTTCCTGCTATAAACACCAGAATTTCCCCATTGTGGGACAATGAATGGATTTTCTATTCTATTCCATTCTATGTTTATTAGAAATGCATTTCCATATTTTATTTTGTTTTAAATGCCACGATTTTGGTTCTGTTAAAGTTTTCTTTTTGAGTTTTCATTTTCACTTTGATCCATGTTTTGCATGTTTTGCTTTTTTTTTTGTCATCATTTCTTTACCCCATTTTTGTGAGTATTCCTGATTCTAAGTTTTTGTGGATTTATGTTTTGGATTTTTGCTTCTGTTACAGTTTTTTGTTAAAAAATCTTAAAGAAGCTACTTCAGCTTCAGTGTCTGCATTTGGGTCCTGTCAAACCCACCCCACTATGACAGAAATAAATATTGTGATCTTTATTTTTCTATTTATTTTTTCAGTTGCTTACATTTTTATATATATATATATTTAAAATAAATTGCGTTCTTATCAAATCTGGTTGTGGGCTTTCCTCTAGAGCAAAGACTCATTTGTAAATCTGATCTGAGAAAAACAATTTGAAAATAAATTCTGTAAAAATCAATCTGAAGAAAGAGGCAAATAAACTAAATTAGAGAATATAACCTAAGAAAAAGAAATGGAATAAGTTAAGTTTAAAAAAAATAAAATCTGAACAAAGAAATATATATAATTTTTTTTAAACATGAAATTAGAAAAAAAGAGCAAACTCATTTCATTTAAGGAGTTTTTTTAGTTTAATTTTCCACTTTTTTCTTTCAAATTCTTATTTAAAAGTGTGTTCTTTGCAACAATAATAGATCAAAATTCCCTTCATATTTCTGATCCTTATTTTAACGGAGAGCTGATTGAATCCTCACTACGGCTGAGAGGGAGAGTAAGGATGCTGTGTTCTCTATGTGCTGTTTTTCTGTGCTTCTATGGAACCAGCTTTGGTTCATATCTTTGATTTAATACTTTCATGAAAGACTCCTTTCCATCAACCAGCCCACTTCCCATGTGCAGAGGTCTTTACGCTGCTTCTCCTCATCTACAGTTTAGCTTCGTTCCATACCTGCGCTTGAAGGTGAGGATGACTCCGAGGAGGATGATGATGAACATGAGGATCCCAGCGATCACGCCTGCCATCTTTACTGTGCCGTCCACCTGCTTCTCCGGCTCCATGGCGTCTGAATCCTGGGTGGAGGCACCTGAGCGTCCACACATACACGCACACACAAACACAGGAACGCACAAAAATGCACAAAGTCATATCAGTGGTACAAATGCAGCGAACTGAGTTAATTAAACACAGAAAAACCGAAACAGTCCATGCAGCATTAATTAACACATAGATTCATGCACTAAAACCAAACATTAGTCACTACAGGGGAAGGTTAGTCAACATGAGAGGAAATGACTGAAAATTTCAAGAAAGAAAATCAAATTCATGGAGGTTATGAAGGTTAAACTGAAGAGAACTTCAGAACTTTAAATAGTTGAAGTAGTTTTATTCTGAAAAAAATAATGCTACCGCATTTGTCATTTACCTAATCACATTTAGTTACTTTAATACAATTGTTTTATGTCCTACCCTGCTAACATGATGAAATTGTGTTAAAAAATATAATTAAATAAATGCCAAAATACGGTAGCATTATTTTTTTCAGCATACTTGTAGAACTGTTAGAAGGATAAAATGCATCCAAAGCAAAAACTTTTCCCACAAAGGAGCGAAAAAATGTGACTATATTTTGGTTTGGTGAAGGATAGACCCTCTAAAAAGAAAATACAACTCTTAACAAATCCTTTATTTTGCTTATCAGTTAAAAAAAAGTTAAGCCATCTTAAAAAAAGTGAGGTTGGATGAACCTAATTCAATTATTTCTAACGAACTGGAACAATTAATTTAGGTTGAAGCTGCTTTCTCTTTTTAGAGTGAAATATAATAGATGTGCCTCATTAAAGGCATTAAATATTGTGGCTGTGTGGCGCAGACGCCCCTTAAAAGCATGAATTAACAGCAACAGTCCTGCAAAACTTAAAAATTAGACAAATCAGAAATTAGACCAAAGCACAACTTGAAATAATCATGCAAAGGAGAAAAGCTGCAGCAATGGCAACAGCTGTAAACAGAAACAATGATACAAACAAAAAAATGAGGTTTTCTACTGGCAGTTTGAGAGCCGTTGTAAAAGAAAGATGAGGTTCTAAGCCATAGAGCTGGAGGTAAGATTTAATAAAAATAATAATAAAAAAAAACAATAAATATAATGATATTTGTCTTTTTCTATGTTGAAGTGAGGTAGAAAAAAAATCCCTCTCGTCAAAGATGAAGACATTTATTTACACGTTGAAGTTGATGCACATTTTACATTTAATGAGGTTCAGCCTCCCTAGTGTTCAATGAGACATCGCCACAGATTTGCACCTTCATTAACACCAGAACCATTTATTTAACTTTATTTACATGAATCATATGTTGCTCATGTTTACCGACTTTTCCTGTTTCTATATTTCCTTCATTTTCACATATTTTTTTTTTTATAAAATAAAATCGTAAAAACCAAAATGGTTAATTTTAACTCAATCTACTATAGCCGTCATTTTGACGGCTTTATTAGTTGTGTTGTAAATTCTTCCTGCGGTTGATTGATGTTTGGTACCGTTGCCTAAAAAACATACATTCTACCTAGAACTCTTTGGCGCTTTGGATAATCAATTTCAATTTCATTCATTACAACAGTATTATGTTTGATCAAATGATTAGAAAGCATTCTGTAAAAGCTCCAACATGAAGGTGGCCTGTGGCTGTATTATTCTCCTGGACATAGCAGCTGTAAATGCTGCTTGGAAGTTACCATCTCATGCAGAGATTTTATCCTGGAACTGGTAAAAGTTGCATGCAAACCCCACATGCGCTCCATTGCCCCTCCACCACCGAAAAGCAGCTTTAGCAAAGCAAACAGCACCAGGAGCTTCAAAGCTTCACACAAAACCAATCATATGTTTGTCATAAATGTGAAACAGTGGTCGGGGGGAAATATCCGGGGTAATAAATCAATTTCTATAAATAAAATTAGAATTTCAAACTTCAAACCTGTAAAACAGTCTTATTTATTTTATTTTTATTTTGGCTATGATGGGGAGCTTTATGTTTTATTTGGCAAAATGTTCATTTCATTTGATGTGTGTTTATCTGATTGTGTTAATTATTATTCCTCCACTAAATTAAAAAGATAAGAATTTATTATTATCTAGAGACTATTAATAACAGGCGGTTAAATGCATAAAAAAAAGGAAATGTTTCCATTTTAAAATCAAAAGTGTTTTCTTAAGTAGAGAACAACAAATGTCAAAATATAGACAATTTCCTGATTCCCATATTTTATAAAAAACCTGAACTGAGCGTTTGTTATTTATTCTTTCTTTTTCTGTCTTAATGGGAGCAGTGGGCTTTAGGCTGCCCTGCAAGGCTTTAAACCTGGAATTAAATGGAGACTAAGCCATTCTCAAGCCATTCCAGGCTAATTCGTGAGCTTATATATTTCTAAAAACTAAGACCCTTTAATTAAATGTTTGGAGGCAAACTACTGGTTCTTCAACATACCAGGAAGCAGATTTCTCATCTCCATCAAAATATTTATTTTATACTAAGAGGCTTAAAATTTTCATCAAATCCAGTCAAAACACCCAAGAGCACCTCTCACAACTTCAAAACAAACTTCTCATCTCAGGCCTGGATGAAGAGATGCTGAGTTTGGGAGCAGAGAACAAACATAGTTCATACAAACCATGGATGATCCTAGTTATTTGTTACAAAAATTCACAACAAAACGAAAATATTTGAGCAGAAACTGAACATCTGCTGGATGATGATGGGGATTTTTTTAATATGTCATATTAAATTAAGCATTCATTTCTGCATGTTTTGCTCCAATTAATTTAATAATAATAGCTCTGAGAAAGTCGGAGGGGAGGAAGACAGAAGGAAAGCGGAGGCTGTAGGCTTTACTTTGCATCTGGTCTGGAGCGCAGCGGGGCGGAGTGAAGACAGAGGATGTGGGATTTCAGGGTCAGACACAGTTGTTGGACAACATGTGGTAATTTATAAATGTTTTAAATCAGGTTGGTCCGGATTAGACAGCAGGTGGGTCCGGATCCGGACCGCGGTCCTCTAATACGTGACCTCTGCTCTAGATGTTCTCTGGATGGCATCCCATTTACGTTTTATAGTAAGAGTTTGACCCTTTAACATTTATTCATAGTAAACTCTGTTCTGGTCCCTGGTGGTCTTTCATTCTTCCATTATGTTTCTGTTTAATCTGCAGCTTTTCTTAACTTGCAGCTATTTTTGCTACATGCAGGATTTATGCATCATTTATGTTTTTGTAGCCGGTTTGGTATTTGCAGCAGGTTTCCACTTTGTTGCTTTCTATTCTCTGTAATTTTATCTTGTCTTAACTTGAAGTTGTTTTGCAGCATTTATTCTTTGTGTGTCGGGTTCATTTTTGTGTTTACAGGATGTTTTGAATTTGCTGTGAAATCATGGAATCGCACGACTTTGGATCCCCTCAGCCTCAGTATAAAAAGGGTTTAAAGACGGCGCATGTGAGCCTCAACTTTCTTCATGGTTCCAAAACAGCCAACAATAAACAAAAAACCAAGCAGAAATTAGAGACATCTGCATCAGGTGCTTAAATAGCATCAGACAATAACTAAAGGGTGAATGATTGGGAAGGAGGAGGAAGGAATGGAGCTCCTTGTGTAAATGTGTGTAAATTGGTGCAAAAAGGATCAACGTGGTTTGAATAGAGAAACAGTTTTCATGGAAAATTTAACAACCTCTTTGTAGCGTATAATAATGTGAGACAAAACCTTTAAGATTAACAGTATTGTGTTTGTGCTAAGTGGCTCTTTTTTCTCAGCTGCTTTGCTAAACACCAAATTTTACCCGACGACAGTTAAAGAGGGCTGAACAATTATAGTTTATTGAAGAGGTGTACACCTGAAAGATCATTATTGTATTAAATATCACAGCACAAACCGGGTTTAAAGATGCTGCTTCTGTAAAAGCTTAAATCATTAGATGATGCCCAGCTTTCTATCCATGGGAGGTGGGAACCTCCATGGGGTTAAAATGATGATGAAAATAAAATTCTCTTTTTTCCTTTTTTTCAGGTTTTTGCCCTTTCTGGACTTTTTGATTCTGTTTAGGTTTTATTTTTAAGTTTTCAGTTAAAATTTGATTCATGTCATTCTGGGTTGTCTGGGTCATTGGTTTTATTTCCATTTTGTTTCATTCTAGTTGTTTTCTGGTTCTATTTTAGTTCTTATATATATATTTATATATAGCAATGTTGGCGGCGCCCCTGAGTCAGACCATAAAGTTCAAGTACTGTGAAAGACAACATGTGATTCAAGGAACCATCATAGCTGTCAAACAGCCAAAACTCTGTGAAAAAGAAAAGAGAAAATGTTAAAAAAAATTACAGAGAAATATTTTACAAACACTGGAACTGGACCTGTTGAAATGTAAAATGGAGAAAAGCAAAAAGTTGAAGGATAAACCAGGTTGAAAAGCAACTATAACTATTTTCCTCCTTTTTTCTCTCCTTTTTCTTTCTTTCTTTTTTTTCTCCTTTTTTAACTTCTTTTTCCAAAAGTCATTAACCATTGACATCTTCAGAACCGGCCGGTCTGCATCTGGACTGAAAAACTTCATGGAAAATCCACCCGGTGGAGGACTTTATGCAAGCCTCCAATCAAAAAACAAACTGGTGATCTCCAATGGAGGATTTCACAGGGTACCATCGCCACAAACTTGTTTTTATCGGTTATTAATCAGGGTGTCTTAAATGAGTGTCCTTTCTGCACGTCTATAAATGTTTTCCAGGTTTTTATGGAATGCAAAAGACTGAAGACCATTTTTAGCCTTTTAATTTGTGTTTTTTAGTCTTTCCGGACGTTTTTTACCAACGTTTTTTGTACAGGAGGAGTTTGCAAAAATAGAAGAAATAAACCAAAGGCCCGACTTTTAAATTGTTTAATCATTGAAACAAAGATGGCCGTTTACCTGTCCCGCAGAAACAGACTGCAGGAAGGAGCTCACCTTAATGCTGTGGCTCTGTGGAAGGTTAAACCCAGAATAAGGCTGGAGTTTCTCTTCCACAGAGACACACAGAACATGGAGGATTTTATTCAGCTGTGG